TGGTTCGTGGAGTCTCATAGTTTTCTAAGCACCTGTTCTGCTCTCTCCCTCTTCTTTTCTGCCTCTTTAACCACGTGGGTTAACTTGAAAACTTTATCCTCTAGCTCTGAGGTTCTTTTTTCTTCATGGTCTAACCTATTTTTGATAGTTTCTACTGCATCTTTATATTCCTTAATTGTCTCCTTCATTTCCTTAAGGTCCACCATATGTTTTCTATATTCTACATATCTCTCATCCCACTTTTGGTTCTGTCTTTCCATTTTCTCATCCATTCCTTTTATTTTCTTTATTATCAATATTTTAAATTCCCTTCCTGTCAAATCCATTCATTATTTGTAGGTGGAATCTTCTGCAGTAGTTTAATCATGGTCCCTTGGGGTAATTCCTCTGTTTTGGTTTTTTATGTTGCCTGAATTTTTCTCTTGGTTCCTCCTCACGTGTGCTTTCTTCTTATTCATCTCTTTGTCCTCCCTTGTTTCAAACAAAAGTCCTTGCTCTTGATGATAACATGTTGTGATATGTTTCCAGGACACGTGATGGTCTTGTGGTATTTTTAGGAGACAAAGAGCATAGCCAGCAACCTCTATGGTCTTTATCCCAAACTTAGTTGCCTTTAGTTTTTGCCTGGTTGTTTCCTTAGCATTCAGACCCTGCTCAGTTGGAATCTTAAAGCTCACAAAAATCTTTCTGGGGCAGGTCTCACAGTGCTCCCTGACACCAGTTCCTATCAGGTGTGGGAGTCTCTCAGCCTGTCCTAAGAGTGGAGTTCTGATCCCAGCAGGTGGAATTAAGATGGCCGTGCTTTAGGCCCCTGTTAATATCTTCTTATGACCTTCCCACAATGGTAGCCCCCGGCCACTGACCTTCTCAATATGGCTACCTCACCAGCCATAAAACCTATGGCAACTCCACTCCAATTGGCATTCAAATCTGGTTGCCATGTACTGTTAGAGCCCACCTACTCTTCCAAGTTTTCCATTCAACTTGCAGCTTCCTCCAACAACCGAAAACTTCAAAAAGGCTTCCTCCCATCCTGGACCTCTGTGGGGAGCTGGCAAATTCCAGTGGGTCTCAATCTAGGGTGACCAGATTTTAACATTTGTAAAGTGGGACAACATGGCCAGGGGCTGGGAGGGGGCGGGGCAGGGCAGGGCCTGACAACAATGCAAACTTTGATAAGCAGTTCTCGATAATCACTTCTCAACAATTATTTGTTATTATTACAGTTTAACATTATAAAATTAACAAAAATAATATAAAACTCATATTCTGGCGAAATAGCCACATGGCAGCCGAAAACTGTATATTCCCTTCCTGTTCTACCGCCAGTTCGTGCATTCTTTCCAAAAATTGGGACTTTTTAAAAATGCCCTGGGACACAGGACAAATTGTTAAAAAGCAGGACTGTCCCACCAAAAGCGGGACATCTGGTCACCTTATCTCAATCACTTGCCTAATTCATCAGATTTCCACCGATTCAGATCATACACTATATTTAGCTTACTACCTCCTTGCTGTGCTCCCTGAGCTATGATTCTGGGTAAGGTCCCCACACCAGGAATTGCTGGCTTCTCTCTTTTTCCCTGATTATTCTAGGAGAGCTCAGCTGAATGATCCTTCTGGTCTGCCATCCTGCTGCTCACCAACCTTGCTGATCTTGAACTTCTGTTCTGATGACCTAATGAGGAGAGAAGAACAAGTGTCTAAACCTAATCCCACCATCCTACCAATCAGCTGAGCTATATCCTCAATGTCACAGTAATCTAGAAGTAAACCTATAAATCCTAATCCTAGAAAACTTCAACAAAAATTTCCTTGGTAATTTGAAATGATTTTAGGGACTTTTTTCTATGTACACTATACCTCACAATTTTAAAAAGTATAATTTAAAATATATATAACAAACAATAGAGGAATGTTTTAGTTAATGCGAAGTCATGTAAGAAGCTAGGTGTTCAGAGAAAAGTCCAATGTGGCTGGAGCATAAGCAACTTCCAAAGAGTCTATCACTAAGAATTGTGTGCTCATTGATCCCTTTATCTCATTTTACTGAAACTATTTTCTTACAAAATACAAACACATATATGGCAGTTGTTTTGTTAATTTTATAAAAATAAAGTCAAACTGTGCATAATCTTTTGGAACTTCTGTCTCTTGACATGATATTGGTGAGATTAATTCATATTGTTACATATAGCTATATTTTATTCATTGAGTGAATATACTACTGTTTCCTTATCTACTGTTCCTGGATATCTGAATGGATTTTGGTTTTTGTTAATATGAATAGTGTCACTATAAACATCTTTTACATATTTTTTGTTGTACTTGTTTAGAAATTTCTTTGAATTTTATATCTAAACATGGAAGTGCTGAGGTATAGAGTATACAAATGTTCAATTTTAGAGAAAAATGTCAAACTTTTCCAAAGTGGTTTCTTTCATCTGCAGCATCTAAAAGAGCCAATGAATTCACACTTGGTATTATCAGATTCTAAAGTATTTGTAATTCAGTAGAGGTAAAATGGTAACCTATTAGAGATCTTAGTAAATATATAAAAATAAATACTTCCCTCTACTTCCAAGTTTTTCAGACATACTGTACATTTCTAAATATGTTAGTGGTATATAGCTCAATGAAAAGAAAATAATACAAAATTATATATGTTTTACTTTGAGGTATTTTTTTCCCTAAACTCTTCTTTCAGGTTATTCCAGGCATGGTCAGAACTAGACAGAACTCCCAGGCAGAATGCAAGATCATGTATTTACCATAAGCTTTCCTAGTCATTCATTCTTTGACACCTTACCTCATTCCAGATCATTTAAAAAATATCTAAGAGATTTCCATTGATTACTTAAGTTTTTTTTAAATTTTGCTTTTTGTTTATTAAATCACAGCTATGTACATTAATACAGTCATGGGGTACAGTGTGCTGTTTTTATATACAATTTGAAATATTTTCATCAAACTGGTTAACATAGCCTTCATGTCATTTCCTTAGTTATTGTGTTAAGTTATATTCTACATTTAGAAAGATTCACATGTACCCTTATAAGATGAACCAGATTACTTAAGTTTTAAAATGGCTTTATTAAAATAAAATGTGTGACGTGGACATACTTATAAACATGCAATCACAAGACTGCCAAGGTATGGTGCTGGCCCAGGTGACTAAGTATTTTCTAAAACCCACTCAGTCTGATATCTGGATTCTCAGGTTCCTTTCTCATAAGACAGTAAGTTATTTAATTTCATTGTAAAGTCGTATTTAAGATGGTTTCAGCCATTTGAAAAGGAGGACCAAAGAATGTTCTTTTAAGCGGGAAATAGAAAGGGTAGGGTTGAAATCTCATCTCCACAGTCAGCAAAAGCAAAGTCAGAATAACAATGATTTGTGATGTTTTTGTTGTTTGTTAAAATACATGGAATTTCCAAGAGGAAAAGAAAAATGAAAGTGATAGTAAAAATGAGATGAAAGCATACAGAGATGATCCTGAAACCTTTCTCCTCACCCCTTATTAACCTGAACAGTCCAATCTAGTAGAACAAAGTGAGTTTAAAAGTATGGCATACGTTATTCATGGAACAGCAACTTTCATTTTGATTACAGATGTTTAAAAGCATCATACATCTTTAAGAAGGCTTAGTTGAAACTCTGTATTTCTGATTACAAAATATTTGGGCACTGTGAGCTAAGAGACTTACATGACATATTTCCTAAAATAGTGTAAAATTGTCTAAGCTGATAACATGAAATCCTTTCACAGTGCACTTTTTAACCTTTCCTTCTTTTACTCACCTTTAATTCCCTTCCCACTTTCAACTGAGTTGAAGGATTTATATTAAAACAAAACATTTAATGACACTCTGAAGAAATTGACTGAAATATAATATGCATAATAATGGAATGAATATTTTAATTTCTTAAGGATGTTGAGCTCTCGTGTTCCTTAAGGGAGACTTTTGCAACTTACTGTCATAAATATTGGCATCAATTATACAAGAAAATAATATTAAAATGTTCAAGGGCAAAATCACCCATAGGGCAGTTGTTCTCATATATTAATAAGGCCACAAACTCATTTATATAGAACCTATAAGCTCGAAGAATTTATGAACCAAATAGAATGATAAGGAAACCTAGCAACCGCACAGTAGAGATATATGGCCATTATTTTTCATGTAGGCCTAGGAATACATTTCCTTTCCTGCATGAACCAATATGGTCCATTTCAAAGAGAAACATATGGAAGTGAAAAATTTTTAAGTCAAGTGCTGACCAAACAAGCAGAATTTCCCATTTAAAATATTCCAAAGAACCGTAAATTCTTGGACTAGCTACTGGCCCTCTGGATCTCTTGACAAAAACAGAGAAGCGGGACCCCTGGAAGAATCTGAGCTGCCGCCTCTGGTGGGGAAGAGAGATGTTAGGATTGCTCACATTTTTTCCCCCTCCACAGGAACAGGCCTCGCGAAGACTGGAGCCTTCTACAAGTTATTCTGAGGCCAATTCCGCTGTTTGGTACAGAAACACAATAGGAGGAGGGCGTGGGCTTATAAGCAAGTTCCTTTTCTCCAGAGTTCACCAGCCCGTCCTGGGATCTGAGATCCTGAACTCTCTGAGCAGGGAAGTGATACACTCATCCCAGTGACGACTTTCTTCTTCTCCAGCTTTAAACAGGGTGCTTGACCTTCCACTGTGTGCCCTGTCCCCTGGCGTCAGCTGTGTTCCTGACCCCAGACTAAATCAGGGCTTTGCGCTGGGCTGGCAGAGCTCAGGACATATTTCCTGTCGCCGCCTAAGGAAAGCTGGCAGGGGCTTCTCCCGGGTGGACGGGAGGGTGGGGTCCAGCGAAAGTGAGGGCAGAAGGGAGGGGAGAAGGGACAGAATGGGGCCGGCCAGCTGTAGAGGGCGGTGACTGAGCTCCAGAGACAGCTCGGCGCCCTCGAGCAGGACAGATCCAAGGGCCAGCAGCTGTGGGCGCGGGGCCTCCAAGATGAGGCGGGCGCTCGCCTTTTGCCTCCTCTGGCAGGCGATCTGGCCCGAGCCGGGAGGTGGTGAGCACCCCACCGCCGACCGCGCCGGCTGCTTGGCCTCGGGGGTCTGCTACAGTTTGCACCACGCCACGATGAAGAGGCTTGCGGCCGAGGAGGCCTGCGCCCTGCGCGGCGGGGCGCTCAGCAGCGTGCGGGAGGGGACCGAGCTGCGCGCTGTGCTCGCGCTTCTGCGGGCAGGCCCAGGGCCCCGGGAAGGCTCCAAAGACCTTCTGTTCTGGGTGTCGCTGGAGCGCAAGCGTTCCAACTGCACCCTGGAGAACGAGCCTTTGCGGGGTTTCTCCTGGCCGTCCTCCGACGCCAGCGGGTCTGAAAGCAACTCGACGCTGCAGTGGGTGGCGGAGCCCCAACGTTCCTGCACCGTGCGGAGATGCGCGGCGCTCCAGGCCACTGGGGGGGTCGAGCCCGCAGGCTGGAAGGAAATGCCGTGCCAGCTGCGCGCCCAGGGCTACCTGTGCAAATACCAGTTTGAGGGCTTGTGCCCCGCGCTCCCCCCAGGGGCCGCCTCTAATTTGAGCTACCGCGCGCCCTTCCAACTCTCCAGCGCGGCGCTGGACTTCAGCCCCCCTGGGACCAAGGTGAGTGCGTTCTGCCCGGGGCAGCTACCCATCTCAGTTACCTGCGTCGCCGACGAGACCGCAGTGCGCTGGGACCGACTCCCCTCGGGCGCGGTGCTCTGTCCCTGCCCTGGGAGGTACCTCCGTGATGGCAAATGCGCGGAGCTTCCTAACTGCCTAGACGACTTGGGAGGCTTTGCCTGCGAATGTGCTGCGGGCTTTAAGCTGGGAAATGATGGACGCTCTTGTGTGACCAATGGGGAAAGACAGCTAGCCCCTGGGGGGACCAGGGTGCCCACCAAGAGTCCACCGGCCTCTGAAACCAGCCCCATACCGAAGAGGACGTTGTCACCCAGGGCCCCCGAGAAGCCAAGAGAGGTACCCCATGTCCCTGAACAAGGCAGTTCAACAACCTCTTTTCCTGAGATTCCTCAGTGGGGAGCACAGAGCACTATATCTTCCCTTCAAGTGTCCCCTCAAGCCAAGTCAAAGGCCACCGTCACCCCCTCAGGAAGCGTGACTCCTACAGCTCTCTCTGCCAATCACCAAGCTTTGGACTCTTCCTCCACCGTGGTCTTCATCCTCGTGAGCATAGCAGTAGTGGTGCTGGTGATCCTGACCATGACCATGCTGGGACTTTTCAAACTCTGCTTTCACAAGAACCCTTCCTCCCAGTCACCCAAGGGATCTTTGGCGCCCCCAGGCATAGACGGCGATGCTGAGGCCGCTGCTTTGAGCTCCAATTCTGCACATTGCACAGAGAGTCGGGGGAAGGTCGGGGACTGTGGTCTTCCAGACTGAACAGAAGCCACCTCGCCGGCAGGGTCCTCTCTTGGCTCTGGCCATACATAGAGGAACAGGGACAAGGGCACTCCTGGTAAACAGAGTTTTTCACTTTGGATGAAAAGAGTAACCGAGAAAAACTTATTTGTGGGGTGACTGTTCCTGCAGAAATACCCCCCTTCTCTAAATTCCCTCTACATTACTGAGGAGCTAAATCAGAGCGCCACACTCCTTCCCTGAAGATGGAAGTGGGCTGTGCTTCAGGGTGGTACTGAGGGGCAGAGTCCTACTGGGCAGAGGTATTTTCTCATGTTTATTCTGGAGCTTTGGGAGAAGTGGTTGGACTTTTCAAGACTTGGAAACAAATAGAAAACAATACAATTAATCAAAAAATTTTTTTTTTACCAAATGGAAAGGAAATCTGCTTACATTCTTCAGGCTGGGAATATATTGGTTTAAAATTCCCTGGCAAAAAAATAAAATAAAATAAAGGTTTGTTGATAACCCAG